ACCACATCACTACAACTTTTGCTTAATTGAATTGTGATCATAACGCTACATCAAAAATAAAATAGTTTATTATAGAAATACTAAAATCCGTTTTAATTCATTTCCTTGTCCACCATACACAATATTTAGAAGCAAAGAGTTATCAGAATATTATCCAGAAAATTTCTGGAAGTAATGCTCTTAACTAAGTATGGTGTAATAGGAAGTGTCCAGCTGTCCAGCTTGCTTATGAGCAAGTTTATCACTGTCGGAAATCTCGTTAAAGTGTATATTATATCAAGTTAGTAATCATCATGGACTGACATCACTTGGAGAACCACTGAAAACCTAAGAGCACTGAACAATTGTTTCGTCCTAGTGTATGGATTCTTAGCATTGTGTAACCATGACCCCGATGGCGATCGAACCAAAGACCTATATGTTCTGCAGCCAGCATTTTACCTTTGAGCCCTTAGGTCAAAATTCAGTGGTCCAATTTACCTACCAGTTCTGGCAGTTCAGTCATTTTCAGACGCTGCTGACCTATCGTTTTTCATTATGCTCATGGACTTTGCAATGTTACGTAATGTAGTTGGCAACATTATTATTATTTTTATTTGTCCCTTGGGTTCCTAGTGGAACATAGGGATTCAGTAGCATGTCGCCATTGCACTCTCTTCTCTCCAGTCTTTTCAACCTGGCTCCACGACTGCCCACAACCTTTCATTTCTTCCTCACATGATCTCCTCCATATCACCCTCGGCAACGACGCCCATCTCGTCGTTCCCCATTTGGACTCCACTCGACGGCCTAGCCTGGTGCGTGATGTCCCCAGTCGGCCTTCTCAGTGTGTACCCGATCCATCTCCACTTTCTTCTGCATATTCGTTGGGTGATGGGTTCTCGGTTGGTTCGTTACCAGAGTTGCTTGTTGCTTATTCTTATTATTCTCGTCATCTGATCCTCAGTGTCAGTATCGAGTGAGTGTAGGCGGCAGCTGTTTATGAATGTCTGTAGTTTGTTGGGAATGCTTTTCGTAACGCACCGCCAAGTCTGTGAACCATCACATAGAAGCACTGACTTGACTGACTGAATTAATGTTGAAAATCCGGATGTTGTTCTTTGTACTCAGTGAAGTAGATCTGCATACTGATTATTTCAGGTTAATGCAGGAAGGCGTGTCTTGCTGTCTTTCCTATACTGACTTTGACATTGTCATTGGTGCCGCTGTCTGTAGTTAAGATGAGGCTGCCTGGGAAGGTAGGTGAAAGAGACAACTTCATTTAGATTTCTCCCGTTGATGATGATTCGTGCTTGTTGTTGTTGTTGTCGCCGTTTGTTGGGTATATTCATCACCTCCACCTCTGTCTTCTCTACGTTCAGCTGAAGTCCTGTCTTCACTGCCACTTCTGTCAACTTGTTGGTTTTCGCCTGTTCATCTTCAATATTGTGCAACAAAGCATTAGACATCAGTCATCATCTGTGGCGAAATCCAAATCATCTTCTGGGGTCTTCTCATTGGCCCAGCCAGCGTATGCCTATCTTCTTGCTCCTCACAGTTGTCTGTTGTATGATCCAGTCAAGTCGAACACAATCAGAAAGATCATTCGGGATAGTAGGCAGCCTTGTCTACCTGCTGTCTTCATTCAAAGGCATCACTGAGATTTCCATTGTGAATCACTCGGCATGTGGCGTCGTCATATAGCTGTTGAATGGGACTGATAAAGGTTTGTGGTACTCCGTAGTGTTGAAGCAGTTGCCAAATACTTGTCGGTCGACGCTGTCGAAGGCCTTCTCAAAGTCGATAAAGTTGAGGTGTAGAGTTGACTGCCATTCTATACTCTGTTCTATGATGATGCGAAGCGTTGCAATTTGATCGGAACATGATTTGTACTTCCTGAAGCCAGCCAGTCTGTGTGGTCGTTATTTCAAATCCAGCGCATCCTTTAGTCTTTTCAGCATGATGCGGTCTAATATTTTGCATGGGGTGGACAGGGACAGGAGCATGATCCCACGCCAGTTGTTGCAAAGGCTTAGGTCTTCCTTCTTTGGGAGTTTGACAAGGGACCCCTTCTTTCAATCTGCAGGTACCCTTCCTTCCTTCCAGACTCTTTGCAATAGTGATCTGAGCGCGTCCGCTGTTGTCTCTGAGTCTGTTTTCAGTGCTTCTGGAGGAATTCCATGTGGTCCTGCTGAGTTGCCGGATTTCAGCAACTTCATGGTGTTCAGGACTACACTTGTGCTTTCATCGGAGTGCTTGTGTTCACTGGTAATTCTGTGGCTGGCTGCAGCTGGTGGTATTTCTGGACGAATTGCAGTTGATGGTGATGGTCGATCCAAGAGATGTTTGAAGTGGTCAGCCCATCGTTTCTTCTGTTTATCCTTTTTAGCGGTAACTAAGTTTCCTTCACTATCTTTCATTCGTTTCATCTGTGCTGTGCTGTGTTGATCTCTTCACTCCCAGATAGTAACCTGGTTATTTGGTATAGTGTTGTCAGATCTCTATCTCTCCTACCAGGCGCCTGTTCTGCTTCACTTGCCAGTACGTCGTAGAAGTGTCTTTTGTCTTTGTGCGCACTCTTCTTCACTTCTTTGTCCAGTGTAGTGTTTTATAGGTTGCATTCAGTTCCTCTGCTCGTCGTTCATCCCCGCACTGCACTGCTTCACCGTCTTCCTCTCATTTCTCCATCGGCTTCCCTGTGCACGTCGAGGTCCTTTCCTTGTCTTGCTTCTTCTTCTTCTTCCTTTCTAACACGGTTATGCAGGTTTCCTTCTGTATGTCTTTCAAATAGTTCCATTGTTCTTCCACTTAATTTTCCTCGAGGATGTCGCTCAATATCTTTCATTTTGTCCTGATTACTGACGCGAAAATGTCATTTGAAGTTTCGTCCTTCAGTTTCTGTTCTGGGTGTTGAACTGTAACTGTTGCCTAGCACCAACTTCTTTGAAGGCCTTCAACTTGATTTCGGAGGTAGGTTCCTTGCACTAGACAGTGAGTGGTGTGAACCACCGACATCTGCTCCCCTTCTTGATCTGGTCTTTGTCCAGTAGGCTGCGTCTCCACTTTCTTCACATTGAGATAAATTCGACCTGATTTTTGGTATAGTGTGTTCTGATATCTGGTGAAATCAAATCCATGTCACTCCCTTTGTGAATATCCTTGTGTTTGTGCACACTGCTTCCAATCACCAAGCTGTTTAGGGCTCAGAAGTCTGCAAACGGTTCTTCATTCTCATTCATCACTTCACCGAGTGCTTCTCGACACATGATCAGTGAGTTCTCTTCCTATGTTGTCCGCTTCCAGTTTGTCATTTATTTCACCTCATTCATTAGCATAGCATTGTATGATTGTGACTTTCCTTGGTTTCGAGTTGAATCCATCTTGCTGTCATGATCCTGACTGATCCTGATCCTGATGCTGGCTGGAGAAGATTGGTTCCCACTGCATGAGAGAAAGCCTTCGATGTTGTTGGGACGTCATGATAGTCACTCGGAAACTCAGTGTGCTGTGCTCGTGGTTGTCGTCTGGGTGACAATATTGGAGTAGACTACTGACTCTACAGTTGACAGTTTGGAGAGTCCACTCGCATTCCATTGCATCTGCAGATTCCTCGCAGATTCCTATCACTTCTATGCCACACCTCATCTCTTTTGCCATCTGGACAGCCTTGCCAACCAGCTTCAAACATTGCGCGGACATCGCATGTCCCTATGTTTACTTTCGCTTTCATAGAGAGAAGACACATCGGCCAATTGGCTTCCCGAAGGCCTTCACCAGCCGGCGTCATTTTGCCTCTTCTATTCCAGCGAGGAATAAGTTTGTTTTTATTTTCTATATTTTCTCTGTGCTTTGAAGTTTCTTTAGCGGTTAGATTGGTGTTCCGGTGTCGGGTTGCTAGCCGTATGCCCAACCTTCCCTCTTTGTCCGGGCTTCGGACCGGCTAGTATCTAGTGTACTAGTTGCCTAGGCGAGGTCAGTTGCCAACATAAATAGTGAAAACATAGACTTAGTGTTGCTAAAAGAAAGCTAAGTGATATATATATATATATATATATATATATATATATATATATATATTATATATATATATATATATATATATATATATATATTATATATATATATATATATATATATATATATATATATATATATATATATGTACAGTGAATCTACGAATTATCCTTCTTTAGTTAGTGTGTAATGGATTCAATATCTTATTTTGTGTTGTTTAGTCACATAAAAGAAATGAGAACTATTATTTCTCCCCCAATTATTGGATATGAAGACAGCAATTAGTCACAATCATATAATTTGTTGCGTAGTTGTCAGTTAACGAAACTTATTAGTCCAACAGTCCGACCACTATGAACAGACCAATCATTTCGAGCTACTGTAAATGAAATTAACCAATTAAAATAAGTGAAATGTTTTTTTGAACCAATAATCTTCTGCTCCATGATAGGGGACTGTAGGACTCGATAAATGCATCGATTCATAATAAACTTTATTCTTCAACATTCTGTAGAGAGAGGGGACGAAGGTACACATTCGCTGTGACAGCGAACTTAAATGTTTCGACCATTTCATTGGTTTTAGTTCAGGAAAGACTAAAGAAGTTTAATTTGGCCAAACCACACACTAATTTGCCTGCCCCATCCAACTCAGTATTTTGGTCAGATGTCTACCCCTCATCTCCGGTTTACCAATGTTCGAGGCTGGCGCGAATGTGGGGGCAGAAAGTGGGCAGGGGGGTGTATGTCATGCAGACTTGCTTTCGTCAACTTCGTCTCTCCATTTTTAAGGCGAAAAAAAAACAACTTGAATAGAGAGGAAGAGTGAATTAAGAGTTGCAGTCAAACGTGATAAAATTGTACATTCTCGGCATAGTTTAAAGATCGTAGAGACTGTTTTCAATACACCCGGCTACAGCATTCCCATTCTGTTATAAATTAGATTTGCTTCCACGAATACCATTTCATGAATTGCATGCAACCGTATCTTAAGAAAACTATATACTAATGACTGATTCTCAAATTCTACTGCCAATTATGACAATCAACGGACATGAATTAGATGTTACCCCAAATATGAATGCATCAACTGATAATGAAAATTATAATGGAGATTTATGTGGAAATGTAGAAGATAACATGTCTTTCGCATCAAATGATTCGCCCCGGAAACAATCACAGCAACATAATCAACTCCAAGGACAAGAAGACAATGACTGTCATGATCAACATCACTCTGATGTTCAACAGAAACATCAACAACAGAGATCACCCTACAAACTTGAAAAATATATTGAGACTAATATAGATCAAGACTGCAATGAAATGCATCACAACAGTAATGATAATGTTCAAATGTCTCATGAAAGTAATTCTAATTTAAATGAGTTAAACATGGATGGAGAAGAAGAAATGAATAAAGAAGACATTTCTATGAATCTCTATCGAATAAACAGTAGACAACAGTCGAAAGAGATCCATTCCAACGGTTATCATCATAATCAGCAGCCGCAGCAACAACATAAAGTAAATAGATTGTCTGGGACTAATACAAAAGCCTGTGCTAAGAAATCATTTGTCTGGAAATATTTCCATCACCCTGAAATAAAACACGGTATACCAGATCGTAGTCGTACACAGTGCATTCTCTGTGATAGTCAATTGGCTTTTAATGCATCTGGGACAACAACAACAATGTTGAATCATTTAAAAAGTCGTCATGGTGAAGTTGCTGAACAAGAAGAAAATCTACGTCGATTCAATCGTGATTCGCGAAAGAATCAATTGCGTGGTATGATTTCATCATCGAACGACTGTAAAACATCACCTATCTGTACAAGTACTGGTAATACAATACTGAAGAATAATGAGGTGACTGATTCATTCAATGAAAATATTCAAATGTCATGTAATTTGCCAATAAATACCACCAGTAGTAGTAATAAATATAATCGTGGTACATTATCAGTTGGTCAACGTGGTAGACCTCCAGGTTCAGGTAGAAGACAAAAATCTATGCACTGCCCAAAGTCAAGCGATAATGTAGATTTTTTAACACAAGATGCTATACCTAATAGTAACCTGAAGTTAGATGGGATCACAGCATATTCAGTTGTAAGTATTTCCTTTTCTGGTTTAGCTCATTGTATTTATTGTGCATTTGACTTCTTTTGACTTTGGCATAGACTGTATCCTTGGGCTGAGGACGATTTTCAGATGTTTCACTTTCTCCTAGTCAGTTTAAGTCAATTATGGTTTGAAGGTGGCTCTATGGTTTTCATGAGTTTAATTGTATCAATAATTTCCCCCCTCTTGATTTAAGTGTGCACGACTTCTCTTTGGACAATTACGAAGGATTTATACCATATGCCCTCTTGTAAGATTGACTTTTGATTATGACTGACACACTTGTTATACATGAGCAAATTTAACTAAAATTAAAATTTTTACTCTTGTTGGCAAAGGAGGATATGAAAGCGTATTTAAACGTTATCATGGAGAGGGAAAATAAATGTATTAGCTTGTTGATATGCTATGCCTTCAAAGTTTCATGATGCAGTCTTCAAGAATAAGGAGATTAGGTCAGCTGATCAGCGTTTATCACTGAATTATGTACTAAGTAAATTATATAGAGTAATGAACTTTCTTCACCAAACGACACAAACCAGATTTTATTCACCTTTGATTTCGACTGATGTTCTCAATTTGTCATTTGGTTTTGGAGGATTATAGGAAGTCTGAAGATCAGAAGTAATAGAAAAAGCATTAATATTCCAGTGTCACTGCAGCATTCAAATCGCTAACACTATTATGAATTAAGAAAAGGACAAGAGGTCAAAGTATTAAGTTGATAAATAAGAGCATAGATATTGTTGATATATTCAGCATTTCACTTGTTAAATGCAAGAGGACTTAAAGACCATCTGAAAATACTCAGAATTTCGATGGTTTTTAGTTAAACACATTTCGATTCATTATCGACTTCTGTCATCTTCCATGTAACAATGCATTTATTTTATATGCATACTAATTTTGGCAAGATATTTGGAATCATGTAAGAAATTTCGGGCAGTATTTTGAGTCAGCCGGTATAATGTCAATCGATTAACGTTTTTTCCTTGTACTTATTTCATTTTTATGTGGTAGACAAGAAGTCTGTGAAGCAGATATAATGAGTACTCTTCAATTAATGTGAGGATTTCGCATATATAGTTATGAAAAGAATCTCGGACTGCTTTCAAAAATTCAGTCAACAAAATAGTCTAACCAGAATATCACAATTATAAGTTTAAGAAAAAGGAGTACTGCATACAGTATGCTAGATGATTACCACAGTTAACACTGCTTATTATAAACAGTTGGGGATAGACATTTTTAAATATGAGGAATTGTCAAGGTTAACTTTTTTCTAATAAACACTGACTGATTCCAACAGTGAACAGTAGTCTGAAGAAGTATACCATGTGCTAAGTTTGCAGTTTTTATATGAAACCCATGCCGAATAATGCCTCAGGTTAGACTTCGTATATACTTATTCGTACGCATTTTCGAAGGGTGAAGCATCATAAATTTTATTGTTTTGCACAGCTTATTACGGCTTCATACTCTTGGAGAAGTTTGTACCCGAACAATAAAGCTACCGTTTATGGGCAAAAGCTATGTAATTGTCCATCTTGTGGTAATTTTACTCAAACAACTCTGCTCTTCGATCAAAAAGTAATAGTCTAGTATTCAGTAGGGACGGTGAGATTTTACTAGTGTTAAAAACTCTCAATCGTTTCACACCTATAAACACGGACTGCCCCACTACGACAGCAACAATGTCCGCAGTATTTGTTGCAGATGCCGTATGTATTCACAAAACAAGATTAAAGTCATATGCTGGTTCACTTTCACTATCTGAGCTTAAATATGCAATCTTTGTAATTCTGCTCAAAGATATTCTTTATCTTTCATTAAAATAATTGACAAACGTTGAACTCCTCAGTTCTATATTATAGGACATGTTTAGGTTTCCGGATCCCAGCTACTTATAAAACCACCCGTCAATCGACTGAATAGGTCGGACTTCCAGTAACAGCTATCTTTTGAATGATCTTAATAACTAGCTGCTTCATATTGAGATCTTTCATATGTTTCCAGGTTGTTTCGAAAACAACTTATAATGACTATTTTAATATTATCAGCTTTGATATGAGCATTACTCATCGAGTATAAAATTAATGCAGTAGTGACCAATATTTGGTGATAGTTCGCTCACTAGATTATTTAATCTAGTCATTCTCAGCTTTCAGGCATCAGAAATAACCATGTAATGTTCATACAGATTGAAAGTTTAGCTTCTTGATTCTTTGCTACCCAGAAAATTGACCATCTTAAGCTTCATGATCTATTCTCCTTTCTAGATTTTATTTCGACTCCGCTGGGCTGAACGTAGACATTCTATTTGCTATACGTTAGCTGAAGTAAATAAATGTGGTAAACTAGTTTTTGAAAGTCTGTAGAGCTTTAATACATATCCGTTACCTACGAATGGGACTGGAAGAAAAGCATCTGCATTTCTTTCAAACTATGATGACGTTACTGAAATGAGTGATGAACTCATTCCTCCTGAATTAAAGCTAAAGTTACAACGGAGACCGGTTTCTAACAGATTAATCTTTCGTAGATTTTCATTTCATTCATGGAAATTGAGATGATCATTGGTTTATTTACATGTTAAACAATGTTTCCATGTATCCAGAGACAACATTAAGAAATCATAAAAGTCGTGCTAAAAATTCAACTACCTACTGTTAGCATACTGAGTGATTGTTGTTCACACTGAGACTTATTGTTTGATTAACTTATCATTAGTTGTTCAGGTGGATTTCCATACGAATTAATTCAGTGTGTTTACTAAGACACTATTAGTAGTTCAAGCATCCACTTTGTGATAATAAAGATATAATAAAGCGAGAAAAAATTGTCTACAATTTGAGTCCAAAAAGTAAACTACTGCATCTTTGTTAAACAACTATTCATCCAGCATACTCTGTCTTTTTGTCAGTACATCGAAATTATAATTACTTCCTTACCAACAATGAAGTCTGCCTACAGTATGAAAGTTAACTGCTATATGTGGGTAGCCACATGCGTCTATGAACATAAGATCCCATTTTATTATAAATATGTTTGTAACGAATGCTTGCACTATCCGTGATCACGGGTAGTAATTCAATCTTGGAAAATGTAAAACATCATAGAAATGTTGCTCACTGCTTTCGGACAATTTGGTAAACTCTTATCTATGGTGGAACTTAGTTGAAAGTGAACAGTGAAAACATGTTTCAACGAACGAATTCATGTGATCTGTTAGTTTGGAGAGCATTGACCTTATGGTTGGTCTGATTTTTTCTTTTTAGGTGTTATCTTACCTTCTTAACTTCTAAAAGACTAATATTTTTGAAGATGTTTACATAACTTTTATTAACTTTAACCTTCTTTCCGGATCATCATGAGCATTATGTCTTGTATTATCTGATATCTTCCCCATAATAGTTCCCTCTTATAACATCATTATTGTAAAATAAGGGTTAATTATTTGACAGGTGGATTATTCATGTCGTACAGGAAAAGGGATATGATTGAATTCGCATAAAATTTATAATCCGGAGGTCTGTGCTACCTTAAAATATTTTCCTATGGGAGGAAGAATGCACTAACTAGCGTTATTATATAAATGACATGTAACATTGAAAAGGCATGTTAGCAGTAGTTTGACTGTTGGATATGAATTATTTAGTTACTTCGAAAAATTGTTCCGTTATACAATAAAGATTGCTGTAAAACACACACAAACAGTTTTGCGATCTTTGACAATTTACATCTCAGTTACAGGATGATAAGTGCGCAAATTTCTAACATTCAGTACCATTAAAGTCACTGCTTTTTGTAGTATTTGAACCTTAGAAGTCATTCATAAACGGGAATTGTATTACCAATCAACGGGTTGATCTTGTTTTATACATTCAACTGTAGCGTTGTAATATACATGTTGGCATACTTTAAATCCTTGAAGACTGAATGCGATTGTCACAAACTGATATCGACAAACATGAAGTATATTCAACTACTTCAACTTAGTTGTTTGAGGCTGTCCGAAAACCAAAGTATGATATTTTTTGTTCAGGAACAACGGAAACTTATTAACCCTTGAAATTTCTCCCTCTCTTCTTTCGTCTACACATAACTTCCGATCGAGAACTGACAGTAATAATGAAAACAATAAATCCCACTCCAACTACAACATAGTTTATATTCTAGTCTACTTGATGGCTAGCAGTGGATTCCAGGATGCACGTTTTGGGACTCATCGGTTGGATGTACTTGCACCTCAATGAGGGGAGCTATTCCCAGGACTCGAACCAAGCACCTAGCGCTAATGAGTTACCCATTGGGCCAATGGGGTACAAGAGCATGACAATATAGTTTATTATGTAAAGAATTTGTCAAATGTAACTAGACTATTTAAGAATTAGGTATAAAGTGTTGATTATATTTGAACGGATATTCAGTGTCTCCTATCGCAAATAAATACGCGCACACACACAGACTAAAAGTAGGCACAACTATAAACACACATTTATCACAGTAATACGGCGATATATCAAATGCATTATAAATTATAAAGATGACAGTAATCACCATTTTAAAATTTATCTTCCTGCAATGTGTAGTTTGAAATAAATGGGTTTTTAAACGATTTAAAAATCTCAAAAATGAGAGAGGGATCTATCAAAACCCAAGTTGTTTTCCATATTTTTCAGAATAAACAGAAACACGATCAAAGTAAATCATCTAAGAAGTGTATATATACTCCTATAGTGGTGTAGTAATCATTAGGATAGCTATGAGAAAAAGGTTCATTCAAACTAAACACAGTCATATAAACAAATAAAACCATCACCATCCCTCGCCCACCCACCTATTCCTCTTTTTGTCATTTGCGCTTAACATTTAAGAGTTGACTATTATAGTTTTTATAATTTAATCTTCCCACCGCTTTTCATCTTCATCTCCTATTCCTCTTTCTCGTCACGTGAGAATCCAGTCAATTCGATCGGAGAGTGTGG